AGCAAGCAAAGCTAAGTAAAAAAACTAAGATCACCCCCACTGCTCATACAGAGAACTTCTGTAAAGGCAGAAGATTTGTCAGTTTGCTGGTCTGGAGCTTTCAGGTGGGTGTTAGCGCAATGCCACAACCTTCCCATGAGTAGAAATTTAACTTCACACCTCAGTAAATGTGTTAAATATGAAAGTCCGTGGCAACCTATTGGGTTAGGCAAAGGTTATCCCAACTGTCAATCTGATTCATAACAGGGCTGATTCATTGGGTTTGTAAAGTGAACAAACCACAAGACATTTGGAATAATGTCATTTGTGGAGATGTTTGGTCATAATGGACAGTGACACATGTAGAAAAAACAAACGCAGTATATCAGAACAAACACCTCACACAAGGAAGTATGAGATGGCCATTTTTATTTTGTCACCTTATATTTCCTTGTGTCCTCTCTCTCCTTTGGTTACTGGGAAATTGTTCCCCAAACAGGAAGCATAAGCAGGGACCTTGGTCCATAAGCACAATTTCTCCCCATATCCATGCTACATATGGAACTAGTCACGCTTCTGACCTGATGTGCTGCTTTGGAGGTGCTTGAAAGTCTGGATGACTCCCTGCCCTGTGCATACTGGTTTTTGCCTTCAGTGTTTTTGTTTTGTTTTTTCCATCCAGGGCTACTGTCCATCTAAATTGTAGAGCATGTACTCCTGTTATAGAGTTATCATTTGTAGAAGGAAGATTATGTTTCTTTCTTCTAAACCTTATGGTGTAGTTTAAGGGAAAATGGCCATTTTGAGTAATTCTCACTTCTTCACTCCTCAGAGAAGCGAGTTTTGTGTAATGGTGTGTGCTAATTTTAAAGGGCGTGCAAATTATAATGTCACACTGTCTGTCTTCCTACAGTTTGCTTCCCTCCTCTCTTTGTCTCTCCTCTCTCCTATTATTGGAATACTGTCACGGAAACGCACACTCTGCTGTAATATAATGCTGTAGTTTGATCCAGACCTCCCATTCATTTGTTTAGCTATAAAGGTCTATGAAGTTGATACATGTTTACATATTTGTTCACCCCTTCACTCTTTTCCAGTAACTATGGCTGCTGGCTTGACTCGTGCATGTATGTGTGTATGTGTGTGTATGTATATGTGTGTGTGTGTGTGTGTGTGTGTGTGTGTGTGTGTGTGTGTGTGTGTGTGTGTTCTTCCCATCGCTGAATTACACAACTCTTTCCACCCTGGGGCCTGAGAACTAGTCTGATGTGACCTGATGATTTTATTGCAGCAGCAGTCTATTTTGACTCTTTCTCTCTAGCTCTCTCCCTCACACACACACACACACACACACACACACACACACACACACACACACACACACACTACTTTCCCTCTGTCTCTCACTTCCCCCTCTAATTTTTTTTTCTACCTCCACATCTGTTAATCTGCTCAGGGAATAGCAGCACAGTTTTCCAAACCTCTGTGCATTTACGTGTCATGCAATTCATCATTGGTAAGTCTTGGATGAGCACAAGTTCTGAGAAAGTCAGACTTCAACCCAGAAAAGGACCCTGAACTCAAATCAGATTATGGTTTGCTCATCCAGCCAGTAGCCGAGAACTTGAAATAGGTTTATTGCAGGTTTGGGTTTGAGGTGGTCAGCTTTCCTCAAAGAGAAGCAAACAATGTTCTTATCTACACCTTCGAACATAAAAGATGAAAGTCAAGGCTTAGCAGAATCCAGATACATCAGGTTTTTTTCAGTGATTTTCGAAAGACTTACCCAATTAAAATGAAGAAGCCACAAGAAATATTATTACCTGTGAAGTTTCTTGTGTTGGATCCATTTAGCTAGTGAACCAATGAAAGACTATTATTTGTTGTTATTACCAGGCTGCTGCTCATATTGTCGATGGCAACAAATTCAACTGTGGTTCCTTGCCAACTCTTTCACTGAAGTAGACGCTTTAGTGTATTTCCTTCATGTGTTTCAGTGTCTGACTGTGCTCAACAATGTGGCTCGCCACTACGTGGCCCTAAATGAGCCCTTGCTTGAATAAGAAGACACAAGCAAAGGTGCCGCCTCTGTTAGGAAACGCCTTATCGTGGCTAACTCCGCAGCTCATTCCATTAAACTGACATGAGAAAAAGATACTCGGATATTTTACTCTTCCTGGGAGTCCGCTGGTTCACTGGTTCTATCCACACACATAAAGAAGTCAAAGAGGTAATCCAGTTGCAGAGCTTTTAATGTATATGTAGCATTTATGTATACTGAAGCAATAAGAGCCCTGATTTTTGTGATACTGAATTTTTTTCACAGGGCCAAACTGCGGACTTGTACACAAGTAAGTAACATGTCGTCTGCTGGCTTTCGTTGATGGTTGAAAGTCACTCATGCATGGGGCACAGCCGCTCTGTACCAGTAATGTGTGTTGTTGGTACAGGGCTGTCTGTAAACCCATTAAAGCCTCGACCCCTGTTTTTAGACCTTGTCATGCCCTCTGGTCTTTGTGTTTCCATCAATGTGCTTCATTTCTGATTAATTGTGACAGGGAACAATAATGGGCACGTAGAGAAACGGAATTCTTTCTGGCTACTTGTCAGTCCGTATTAGCTCAACCAACAACCCCTCCAATCGGTGTAACCCATTAGCAGAGCTGACATAAAAAATATAAGCAACCTCTGATCACCCAGTCTTTAGACAAGCAACTAAACATTTGGTAATGAGCCATCAATAACACCAACTTTTGGGTAAGAATTGCACAAGATCTGCCTGTTGTTCTTTTTCATTCATTTTACTCCATAGTGTGTCTGATATGCCAGTTACTAATGCTAATACAATCTTAAACGTTTACGTGTACATTTCCCACTTTATAATTGTGTCTTCAAAATTGTAATTAATAGTATAGTAAAGTAGTAGTAAAGTAAGTTAATTATTCTTAGATTTAACTATTTAATAAATCATTATCAAACTCTTACAGATGACAAAGTAAGAACAGCCAGAGTCATGCAGCCACTGGGGAAGCCTGTGTGGGGACTATGCACATACACAGCACTGAAGTAATATCCAGTGATTATTAGTATTATTAGTAACAATTTCTATCATATGTCTTTTAAAGAGCCTATTTCCACTGTAATAATCTTCTGAGCTTTATCAGCAAATTTAAAACTGTGTTGACATGGCCACATAAGTAAATAGTGAGAGTGAGTGACCCAAGATAATTACCCTAATGTACAGTGCTGCTCAAAAGACTTTCATATCATTTTTTAAATTGGTCTCGAGCAGAGCTAAAGTTCCCCAACATTTTTTAAGGTCTTTCAATTTTTTTCTTTGGACATTTGCTGCTTTTACACCTTTTTCCCTTGTTTGTTTGTCAAGGTATTTAACACTGACCTGTGAGTCATTAGAGTATTTAAAAAATCACCTAACTCAAGGAATGAACCAGTTTGTGTCTACACACCACAGACAACTTAGAAAAGAACAATTTTTAAAATGTATCTATATGTTTTGTTATTAGCATTGTGTTGCAAGCACATGGAATTTGTTCTCATTTCTCTTTAACTGAATCTAAAAAAAAAAAAAGATAGCACCGCTTGACTGGCATAAATAGTATTTTTGCACTAACCAGCTGATTAACAAAAAGTTATTTGCTGAAAACCTGACATATCTCGGTATGGTGTGCAGCATGTTCTTAAAAACAATTAAAGAAACTGAGCAAGTGGAGATAAAAAGAAAAAGTTGGCCTTAAAAAACTATCACAGATGACAGTATCTGAAAATCATGTCCTTAAGAAATAGGAAAAAAATGGAAGGATGGCTATCAAGAAGCCATTCCTAGAGAAGGAAAATATGGAGAAAAGGCTAAGATATGATACATTACACAAGAACTTGACTGGAAATCAGTGGCAGCAGGTCTGATTAAATTTGCAATCAATATGTATCGAGGAGGTCGAGGTTTAACAATGAGTTTCTACAGTCATCTGTAAAACATGGGAGATGCTCTGTCATGGTTTGGAGCTGCATTTCAGACAGTGGTGTTGGAGATCTTGTCAAAATTGATGGAATTATGAACACAAAAAAGTACCATAAGATTTTGATCCAGCATGTTATACCACCTGCAAAGTATCAGATTGGCAGCGGCTTTGTTACCTGGATAGAAAGAGCAAACAAACGAACACTATCAGTCATGGATTGACCTTCCCAGAACTTGGATGTTAATAATAATTGAAGCAGTGGGATCATCTTGACAGAGAACAAGAAGCCAAGGCAGCCAACATCCAAAGAATGTCTTTCAAGTAGTCTGGAGAAATATTCCTGAAGACTCCTTAAAGAAATGACAAGAAAGCTTGACTAAGAGAGTTCAGGCTGTGTTGAATAAAAAAGGGTTTTATATCAAATAATGTTTTTGTGTGTTTCGATACCTTGTTGCACCTATGTCCTATTTTCCTAGTAAACTACAAAGAAATAAGGGGTGGCGTGTGACTTTTACACAGTACTGCAAGTAATAGCATGAGCTTAGGCACCGCTGTAAAAAGTGTCTGGCTCTACTACTGAAAGCAAGTATCAAACTCTGAGGAGAACACATACCTAGGTATGAGGCGGTACTGAATGTAATATGCCTTTTTTTCAGTTTTTTTGCGTGATTTATGCTATCCATTTTATGAAAAACAAGGAAATAAAGAGATGCCTGTGCAGTAATACGCTCTTAAAATAAGAGTAATTGCTTTTTGCCTGGGAAAGCTGTTAAGCAGTAACCCCTGAGAAACTTGAATTTATCACTCTGGTTTAAAAAAAAAAAGAAAAGGCTGTGCATGCGCCTGCAGGAAACAGGTGGGGTTGGTGAGATTCAAGAAAGAAAAATGATGTTTGCATGGAGCCAAAACATTATGTGAAAATAGCATTTTAAATGACATTTCAATAAGGCAGACAAGAACAGTTCATACATTCATCATCTCCTAATTTGGAGTTAAATGTTTGCACAGATTTGAACGTTACGCTTTAAGAAGGGGCTCATAGATTTTTGCATGATGTCTTTTTAATAACAATCATTTTATCAAACAACATGACTGCCAAAAAAACCAAACAAAAAAACAACAACATGATGTAAATGTCACCTAAAAGCTAGATGACTGCGATTGGGCAAATGTCAAACAGTACAGGGATTCAGAAATGAGTTGGAGAAAATGAGGTCTAACTGTACATCAGGCCACTGTCATGTTATAACTTTTCCTCCACTCCCTCTTCATTTCTGTTCCATTAGGACTTCACACTGTAAGAGAGCACCAAAACAAACAGAGACAGAGCAAAAGGGAATGAAAGACTGCAATGTTTTGGGAAGCCCAGACTGCACATGTAAATTCCTTGTCAGCGGGCTGGAGTGAAGGGTGACAGGTGAGTTGACAGGAGACAAAAGAAATAGAAGAAAACAGCTGCACTAAAAAAATGGCCTTTAGTCAGACAAATAAGGGGATTCCACATAACAGGTTAAACTCCTATATGGACAATAATGTTGCATATTCTTTCTAAATCACAAAGGAAATGTAACAGTACCCACAGTTTAATATAAAACTGTTACACGTCAATCTTCTTCCCAGTTAGTGAAACAATCACTATACGACAAGTTGCATAACAGACTAAATCTGCTATTAATGTAAAAGAAGTCTCATAAAAACCTGTTGCATAACACGTGTTCTTTTCCAGTATATTCTTTGATGTCCCAAAAATAATGTGAACCTGTTAAAGATGAAAACTTCCAGTGAATGGCAGTGTGCTCGTGGCTAGTTTCCATCACAGTTCTTCCCTTCCATACAGGTCCCCTCTTCTTCTTCTTCTTCCATTCGTTTTAATAGATTCACCGAGAAAAAAAAATAAAAACGAGACCATTGCTGCTGGCTGGCCAAAAAAAGAAAAGCTTGGCTCAACCTTCTTTGTTCATTGACTTTCCATTGCAAATCCAGCAGGCATTCTCTCTCAGCTCTCCTTTTCCCTGACCACAGCTATGGCTTTGGATACAGCAGCAAGTCTGTCCTTTCTCCTTTTGTGTTTGAAGATAATGCCCACTGTTTGAAGTGAAGGGAATTTAAGGCAAGTTTAAGGGAAAATTGGGCCTGAAAGAAGAGACCTGTCTATATTTGTGACGACTAACAATGTAAAATCAAGGCTAGATTCAAGAAAGAGTTACACAAAAATACTACAACGTAGCCCTCTTTGAGTAATTATCAATGAAGCAGCTATAGTTAGTTTTTTTGTTGTTTTTATTTTAATTTCTTTCATTTTGTCACAAATAGGTGCCCTTGTCAATCTAGCCTCTAAAGTATGTTGTCCATCCTCACAAATATAGGGGGAAATATTTTAAGCTCAAGTCTTATTTGGGACTATTTTTTTAGTTAGATTCAAATTAAACTACTTTACTTGTCAACCAGAACCAATTGAGGGAAACAATAAAAATTAGTATCAAAATATCAAGTTTGTTTGTTTTGGGGTTTTTTGTTTTTTGAGAAAATCTGCATCGTTAAAAATGTGCCACCTCCTGAGTGGTCTTCAAATCTAAGCCATGAGGCCACAGTTTAAGTATTTGTCACAGCTAAAAGTCCAAAAGTCATGCATGGGTTTGGTCTGTACCGAGTAAAATCCTGCCACACTGCCTCACATTCATGTCCTCTCAGCTACACTTGCAAGACTTGACAATCATGTTGGAGAGTTGCTCCACTTTAGGTGTCCGTCCAGAGTAGTAGAGTATAGTGAGGGGTTCCAGGTCTTGGGGGACACAGCAGGGGGAGGCGGATGCCTCTGGATTCAGAGTGTTGTAGAGGCTCAGCAGCTATTGAATAGGACATAGAAATTAAATAATTATAAAATTCACATTTGTTTTGTGTACCGTGTATCTCTGCTGTCTCTTCCTATGTGATATTACATGGCAGAGACATGGCACACAAAGACTTCTGCGCAGAAATCCATGAGAGAAAGTAGTAACAGCAAAGAGCCTCTGCCCCTCTACCAGAGAGCCAAACATCTGGTTTTTCACAGCCAAACTGGAGAAATATACACTCACTAGCCACTTCATTAGGTACACCTGTTCAACTGCTCATTGACGCCAATATCTAATCAGCCTAACACATGGCGGCAACTCAGTGCATTTAGTCATGTAAACATGGTGACGATGACCTCCTGTTCAAGTTCAAACTGAGCATCAGAATGGGGGAAAAAGGGTGATTTAAGTAACAGTGAACGTGGCATGTTTGTTGGTGCCAGACAGGCTAGTCTGAGTATTTCAGAATGTGCTGGCCGGCAGGGATTTTCCCACCAAACCATTTCTAGGACAATTTTAAAACAATAGTCCGAAAAAGGGAAAAAGAGAAAATAACCAACTCTGGGCAAATATCAGTATGAAAGATGAACATAGCTACAGTGACATCACCCAGTGGTTTGTGAAGTCCTGTTCTGAAGCCTCGTGACGAGGGCTTCCCATGTCGCCACCTTGGTTGCAAAAACTGGACATGACGAGGCTGGGCAGGTCTGACTGCGAAACCAAACGCTTACCGCCTAACAACTTGTGACTGACAACTCGTCAACTCGTAAGCCAATGTCTTTGTGGTTTCATAGCATGCATATGGTGCATGAAACATGGTACGATGTACACTGGCAAAAAACAATAACAATATGAAAAAAGAGTGACTGCAGAGTGACCTACAAGCTTAGCAGAAAAGTGACTATGGAAGTCACGACAGAAAGCTGTTTTCCCACAGACATCTATAGGGCCAGAAGTCTTTTTGCAACCACAACTATTGCCATCTGGTGACGTTCAGATAGAATGCACGTTTAAGACACTTCTGCATTGATGGAGTTTTCCGACCCACAAGGTACGTCCATGTTTTATACATGAACAACGCAAAAAAGCAAAAACACTGTGTTTATATCAGACATCAGTGGAGAATGGCCAGACTGCTTTGAGCTGATAGGAAGGCAGCAGCAATTCAAATAAACCACTTGTTACAACCAAGGTATCTCTCAACATGACAATAAGGTCACTGTACTCTAATGGCTTCCACAGTCACCGGGTCTTAATCCAATAAACCAACTTTGGGATGTGGTGGAATGGGAGATCCACATCATGGATGTGCAGGCGATAAATCTGCAGCAACTGCGTGATGCTGTCATGTCAATATCCACCAAAATGTCAGAGGAAGGTTTCCAGCTCCTTGTTGAATCAGAACTGCGTGCAACCTGATAATAGCAAGGTATAGCTAATGAAGTAGCCCGTGAGTGTATAAAGCATACCTTGTTTACTACTGATGCAAGTGCACAGATGAGGTTCATGATACACACACACACACACACACAAAAAAAAACCCACCATAAAAAATCATGAAAGGAACCAATTTCTGGCTAACATAGCTGTAGCTCTTTTCCTTTCCCCTAAAGTCAACTTTCTTTTGACTGGATGCCCCAGCAGGTGGGGATTCATTCAGTTTACATATCAAATAAAGAATATAGCTCTTTCCCCATGTTTAAATACAGGGCTCAGTCTTGTTAACACAAAACAGCTGCCTGGAGATTCAGTGGCAAAGTGGCTAGAGTTTCTGCTAGAAGAGTTACAGCCCAAGGCATTTTTATTTTAATCAATGCAATACCTATACTCTGACTGTGAAAGATAGCTTTCAGATATATTTATCAGATATATTGATTTGTGATCAAATGGACAAGTTTTTTATATTTTGTTTTTTACACTGTAATTTAAAATACCATGTATAGTTGTAGTGAATATACATATAAAACATTGACATTTATGATGCTTTTTTTTCTGCAATCTACGATGTACTTAAAGGTATTTTTGTTTCTGCTGCTGTAAATTCTACTGTGCAAAACTCCCTCAGCAAAATCCCACTTACCGAGCTGTGCGTTGTGTCTGAGCTCCTCAGGTAAGGGCATGGCCCAGAGCAGTAGTTGGCATCGTAACCACTGGGCTCGTGGATCCACTTCCAGTCCAAATCACGGCGGAAATCAATGTGCAGCCGGCGAACACAGCAGCTCTCCTCCGTGTTTCTGTGATGAGGAGGAACAACAAAAACATAGTCAGTCTCAAGAAATGTTTTCAGTGGAACATTTAGGTTCTCTTAATATTTAATTGTTGTATCAAATATTTAAGCTCCTGCACATGAAAGTACCATTAAAACTTGACAGCACTAAGAATAGATTTCTCAAGGACTAGCTAAAACTGGCGTGAATCCCCTTACGAGAAACAGTAGTTTGTGTCCAGCGCTCTCTTGCGTCGGCGTGTTGACTGAGTGTCCAGGCGGTGGGGTGGGATCATCATGAGGATGAGATGAGGGAGATTCTGTTCCATTTTCCTCTTCAAGTGATCCAGATCCAAGCGACTGTGCTCCTCCTCTTCATCAATACCTTGATTATAAACATGATCCAAGTGCACAACTATTAACAACTGTGGAAAAAATCCATCCTTTTTTATCTGAGAAAGACCTTAAATATTATTCACCATAATATAAGAGCACTTGTACTGTATTGCAATTCATCAAATTGAAGCATCTATGCTTAAAAATTATTTCTATGTAAATAACCTTTGATTATTTATCACAATAAAGATGTGATTTGGTTATTACGAAGATTACATTTTCTTTCTTTCTTCCTGTTAGAAGGGAGTTTTTCCTTCCCACTGTCGCCAAAGCGTTTGCTAATCAGGGGTTATATAATTTAGGGGGTTTTCTGTGTTTCCTTTGTGCTATTGTTGGGTCTTTGCCTTGAGGCAACTATTGGTGATTTGGCGCTGTATAAATAAAGGTGTATTGAATTCAATGAAATGTTGCCATGTAAATGTATTGCAGGGATGGTAAGAACTCACACAGAGCATAAAACATGACTTGCACAAACCCCTAGTAGCTATGTCCATCCTATATACTGTTTTTTTGTTTGTTTGTTTGTTTGTTTGTTTGTTTGTTTGTTTGTTTGTTTGTTTGTTTGTGTGTGGGGGGGGGGGTATATATAAAAACTGATGTGACAAAATCTCACTGTAGCTCACCTTTAAACTTGACCTCCAGGACCTCACTTTCCTTGTCAATGATGTCGCCATTTGGGCTGAAGGTGTGGCATGGACAGTGGACACTAATTTCCAAACCCATATTAGATCCTGCAATTAAAAAAAGGCAAGCTTTCATTAACCTTAATGGTAATCCTTTATTATTCCTAATGATAACAATTCTGAGTTATTATGAAATGAGGAAATATGGAGATCTCAGGCTCACCTCTCTTCATCAGCCACTCCCGCACTGTTTCGGTCACATCAAAGGAAATCCATTCTGCGGTACCTTTGGTCAGCACATTCTTGGCTCCAATGAAGCGCTGCTTTCTAATGTGTTCATTTCGCCTCACGATCTGTGAAGCAAAAATAAATAGTTGGTCTGAAGCCTTTTTTCTCAACTGTTTTAGTTGTTCTTGTTCTGATTGTTCAATAATAGTGAATCATGTGGAGGAAAGAGTGCATTCAATATATTAATAAACTATGAATACAGAAACTATGAATGCACACACAAAACTGACACTCACACATCTGACTTTCCTCATTCATTTCCCTGCCTAGATTTAAATCTTCACCCTGGAAGGGGTTTTTCAAAAGCTCCAATTTCAGTGACCGTAAAATGACAGTAAAATGCCATTTATGTGTTGGAAAAGGCTAAAAGCTATAGAAAAGCTACATTTATCAAAATACGTGTGTGCACGTAGACGGACTGCAGGCAAGGGGTGTTTTTAAGCTAAATGCAAATTCCCACCTTTGCATAATAAGTCATATCATGTCATAACTGTTCAAATGATGAAGAAGGTTTGAAGTGGCAAAAGACAAAAATGACAAAATATGCATTTCTTACATCAGCCAGACTCAATATGCTAAAATTTAATGGTGCTATATCTTAAACAAAAGATGTATTTTTAATCAACAAAAGGCCAACTCTGCTATTATAACAGCTGTCAGTTACTTTTAGTTAAATTCCCCATTAATGCTGCTTTTCGCAGTGTTCCAGGAGACTGTATTATTGCATTTGATAAAATCAGACTAAACCTTGTCTTTCCATTTTTGTTGGCTTGTATTTGTTTCTTTATAACTAAAGACATGTGGGAATGTGCACAAGATCTATAAATTTACATTTGACTATTTCTGTTATTATTTACTTAACTTTTGGCAAGGTTGCTACAGGTCCCTGGTTTTTCTGTGGAATTTGGCTATTTGGCTAGAACATGCTATAAATACCTCCTCTGTCACCAGAGCAGGATGCAAAAGAGCTTTTTTCTAACCGCTATTAAGTCACTGAACAAGTTATGACCTGTTTATTTATTTATTATTAATTTTATTGACAGACATTCTTTTTTTGTATTTTGCACACATCTAAATTATTCTTTTTTTTTTCCTGTGACCTTCTAATCTAGAGCTTTTTTTCCATAGGTTTTTCACACACTTTTTACTTGTTAATCTGTGGTGTGACAATGAAGTTTAATCTGAATCCATGTTGCAGGTGTTTTTCGGTCAGTGGGTTGGGCAGATCTATTTTTATGAAAATAAAAAGGCAGATTTTAAACAAAATCATTTATTTACACCAAAATCTTACAAAACCAACCACAGAACACAGCATACATGTAAATACCAACATGCCAACCATGTGTATCTAAGCACCTGCACACACCAGATTGCTATGATGCTTTTAACTGCCAAGATTAATACCAACTCTGGGTACTATGTTAATAGTATATTTTTCTGTCATTTAATTGTGTATCGGTTACTTTGGTGTAGCATTGGGGAGGTCCTTATCAGCAGGAAAAGTTGTAAAAGTTAAGAAGCTACAGTTAAAACTTTTTCACAGTTTCCAAAAACAAAGAGTGGACCGAATTGGAGTCTTTTCTGGGCCTACTCTGGTCCCCAGGCCATATGTTTGACACCCCTATCTTAGATCCTTATAACAGAATATTGCATTAAGGACATTAACTACAATATTCAGTACTAGAGATCTACACATAACTATAATTAAGATCATTATAGACATTTGTAGATGTCTACTACTTGTTCTTCGATAACACTGTCTGTGGCTAACTGTCCCGGTTCTGCAAAGATCTTGCAGGCCTGCTGAACCTTTCAGTTGTTCATCTATTTGTTACCTAGAGCCTAACTGCAATCGAGTTATAATTGTCTATTTTTTGTTAGTTGGAGCCTGAAATAACAATAGAACTGACTAGCTATTTCAAGACCGGTTTCTCAACAGTTCAGAATTGTAGTGGTATTTTTCTTTTGTTTGTTTTTCCTTGTATACAAAGATTACATCCAGAAAAAGTATTTGCGGTCTGCCTTTTATCTAGGTAGAAGGACAAGGAAACGGTACCTTTACGCACCTGGTAGAGCTCAATCCGCTGTTCATTCCTCTTGGCAGTCGAGTTTGGAACTCTCAGCGCTCGAAACTCTGCTCTGAACAGGTTGGTGGCGTTCCTCTCCATGGCGGAGATGTTAAAACGGAAAACCTTAGAAGTAATGCCTTTTGGGCAGTAAGACAGATCGTCTGGAACAAATAGAATAAAACAAATGTTTTGTGAGGGAGCATGCTTAGAAGCATTTTATGTCCGTAGATAGATAAGACAGATGGACCTTGTATAGATAAAGATACACAGTTCAAATCCGATCTTGGCCATAGTGGTTCTGTGGTGTCTGGCACTACGTTTATCACAGTGAACGACTAGTGTTGCTGCACACCTTAATCAGAACTTGTCAGTGTTTCTCTAACACATTTTGTCTATATTTGGTGGAAATGAAAATGTCGTCACTGAAATAGCATTATTTAGATAAGTATGACCTCACCTATCTGGTATCAAAAACCTTCCTATCCTCAGTCCCACTGACAACTTTTTGGACCTGAACCCTTTCTGACCATGATGACTTCTCCACAGCCCAACCTCAGTCCTTGAGACATGCCAGACTCTGTATAAGTACCATGCTATAAAAGGAAATCTTTCCGATGCTTGTTGTCCACACTCTCAACACAGTAATTTGAATGACCTTAAGGCTGCTCTGTGAACCAACTCGAGGCCGTGGCAGGTGTAAATGAAGCAGAAGGCTGCCACAAGACTGACAGGTCAACCTATTACCTCTGAACCCCATCAAAAAGCTAATGTATGTAAATGAGATAAAGCGCGTGATGTCACTGGCCCAGACTCAAATTTTCATTCCACAAAGTCAGCCTCCAAGCACTCTTATGCCTCATGCAGGGAGCACCATTGGCGCTGTGGCTTGTAATCACTGACAGTCTACTGTCTTAAAGGAGTGGTTTGATATTTTGTAAAACTTACATTCCCACTTCCTCGCTGTAGGTTACGTGAGAAACGTGACATCACTGCTATGAATTCCACCCCCAAAAAAAGGATGGCGCGAGCTAACAGCTAGTCACACGTCATTTCATTCTCAAAAAATAATAGGATCTAATGTTGGCAGCTAGATGCAGTATTCTTGGCGTGTGGTAATACATGATGTCATTCACAAGCATGTGCCTATTGTGGAATGATAATAAAATCTGTGGCCACCTTTAATGAATGACAGTACATTCTAAAGTGTAATCAAGGGTAAATAACACAGACCTCTAGAGCGTAATTGGATACAAACAAGTCATGTGACGTTGAAAAGAAAAAACAACTGACACGGTAGAGGTTTGGGAGTATAGTTAATGAATGCATTAACAGGGCCGGATACTGCACCACTGCTCAGTCTTGCTGCTATGCTTTCCAAGTACCCATTTGCATTTGAATTGAAAACAGTCCCTGTGGTCCAGAAAACGTTTTTTCCCCGTAGACCGCCATTATCAAAAGAGACATCTGTAAAACTGTTAAATACGATGGATCAAATTCATGGAGTCTTAGCCACAAAAGTGAGTTTTTATTTCTTGTCTATGGACTGCAGATTGTGGGACAAACCAGTCAGTGGGCAGCTAATGGTGTAACCACAACAACAAAGCTTCACTAAGAGCTACAAAGTGTTCGAGTCACTTTAAGAGGGGTCACAGTGTTTCTACCCAACATTACACAAAACAGTCTCTCAGTAAAACCTTCCCAAGTCTTATCTGCACCTGAATCTAATCTAACTTTAACTGTAGCTTTATCATTACACAAAAGAGATTAGGGGTGCTTTGTAAAAGGTATCCTGGTGATAGGCGTGGCAGATCAAAAAGTGCTTCGTCTGTATGTGTCGAGGGCAATGAAAGCTGATGTAATTTGTTTTTATTTTGAAAGATTTGTTGGAGAGTTTGACACATCATCATACCTTAAAGAAGATGGGGATTTGTCTCCATCTGTTACATAGATTTTGAGTAAATACATAAAAAACCCTGCATTTTTCTGCAGGAGAAGACATGTTTTAAATTTGCTTGAGTTGTTGATGAACTGGGTTAAAACAGAGGGGACCTTACCCATTTGCTCCCATTGAGGTAAAACTTATGTTTTGAGTTTTGTATGTCTTGTATGAAGAAGTAAACTGGATAAACATGGAGAATACATTGCTTTAAATGTTGTTTTAATCTAAAAGATGTTTGCGTTGCTTTTTTTTTTCCTTTCCTGCAAAATTCAAAAGTGGACCTCAACCAATCTGAAAGTTCATCATCTTTCCTTCTCCATCATATGAAAATCACATTACCCACTCTCAGTTTAGGGGCTGAATGAATACAAGTGGATATACTGGGCATTGACAGAATGCATATTTCCAAGTATGAGATCACACTGGACATATTAAAAAAAACACTGGCATACACATACAACTCTTTTATTTAAGATTTTGTCATCAATCGGCGTGTGTTATTCTGTTTAAACACCAGTGAACAGGACACCGTATATAAATCTTTGTCGTCACATTGTCGTACCTCGAGACCATCCGTGGCTCTCAAATCCAGCTACGAGTCCACCATCTCAAGGCGCCTATTTCCTGGTGTTTTTGTCAAAAACCATTTTGTGAGATTTGAAACAGAACATTGCTGAGGGAAAGTAGGTCTTTTGAGAAACACCTGTTGATTTCAAAGGGACTGTGATGCAATGGTCTTGGCTTTGCTCTAGACCATGAGGCCCGCTTCGCCTCTCGCACACGCACAGCAGTTATCCTATTCTGCTTTTTCGGTAATCCAGACTCAGTCGGACCACATGCCACTTGAATTTCCTTCAAGTGCTGACACATGTCCCTCCAGCACAGGTTTTCCAATTACAGTTCGTAGCTTTTTATTCTATAGAGGAGAAAGTCAAATATGGGTTTAACACATGTAGAGGAAATAATGTGAGCCTAAGCAGTCTTTATGTGTTATTTTAACAAATATTTCACATATAAATTTAAACTCATTTTAAGCCAAGTAATGACTTATTACCTATACCTGCTGGCAATATGAGATGCTGGCATAGTCTTTAGACTTAATTGGGTTTAGGGCTCAGCCTCACACACGGTTTAGTAAAGTTAAACCTGAGCTGTCCTGTATGTGATCTCATTCTCGTGGGCCACCCGCGAGCATAATTAACTAGCCAAGACGGCCAGTGGGGTCACTGCCATCTCAATAGGCAAGTGGGTGGCACCAGCATGAGGGCTACAGAAGAGCCAACTCCTCCCATGCAGAGAAACTCTAAACCAGAAAAGAGTCCTTCTATCCCAGCTAATGGGGAGGTCCTGCTGTCTAGCTTTTCCTGCTCATTTCTGATAACTTTTCCAACTCCTTCTTCTATAGGCATCCCCATCTGCCTGTGCAGATGTCCCTCTCATTTGAACCTGACTGGAAAGGAAATGGGAACATCTGGGATGGGAGACATGAACCATAGAGAGGGGAAAAAAACAAAGCGAATAAGAGCGGAGTCAGGAGTGGGAGGAGAGTGGCCTTCCTGGAACACAGGTTCAGACATAAAACAGGTTGGCGAGCACAAAAGAAATAAAGCACATCATTCACAAGGGCACTGCTTTCTGTTCGCCTTTTAGTTTTACAAAAATTCAGAGAAGAGTTTTATACAATTAAACATTAATCTGCCAAAGGGGAATTTGTTTTTTCTATGTTTGCGATGATTATGTGACACTAACCAGTTACCAGCACAAACACTAAAAAAGAGGATTTAGTTTGTAAAAGAGAGGACGGCTTGAATGGAGTTAAACGTGGAATATAAAAATATATATATTATAATAAAAATAATATCATAAAATTGAGAGAGTCTTTTGCCAGCTAGAAATTTTATCAATCTAAAACTGTCAATGAAACGGAATTACATAATTGCTGTTTTGAGTCTTGTGCCGCTGGGTTTAGGCGTACACTCTTCGTTTGATGCGTAATTACGCACTATGGACACGTTGGTGGCTGGCACAAGTTGGAGAAAGACAGCTTGGCTGTCTGAAAAAGTGCGATACTTACTGTTCTCCGGCGGTCCGTTGTCCATGTTGAATTTGTATATCTCTTTGGCATAGTACTCTGTCTCTGTGTTGTCTTGACCGCAACTCTGCTGCCGATCCCTCCCCAACTCCTCCAGTAGCTCCTTGGTGCTGTTATACAACGCTTGGATTTGATAGGGGATTTTACTCGGTCCAAGGGATTGTGGAGGACTAGTCAGCCGAAGTTTGCTCAAAATTTGACCCCGTATCGCCTCGACCCTCTTCCTTTTCACATGGTCAATATCCACAGTGGCACAAGTTGACAGGGATGAGCTCAAAGTTGCGCAGTTGAGGAGGATGACAAACAGTAAAGCCTTGCCCAAATGCATCTTTCTCTCTGCATTTGTTCGCTCGATGGTTGAAATGTGTGGAGGACTACCAGGGTCCGTGTCAACTATCCGTCAAAATCACAGTCCTGTGACCTATGGTTCTTCTTGTGCTTCTCTAAACTTCCCTTGGAAACTAATGCTTAAAAACTCCTCGCTTGTTTCGTTTTCTTGTCCCCTTCGCCTGCGGAAATCCAATTTTGTGTTCGCCCATTAGACACAACTCAATTCAAAGTCCCGAAAAAGACGCTCTCCCACATATATGAAACTGATCCGTAGAAACAAGCAATCTGGTCTTTTGCATACTTGTACTCACTCCAGCAGATTTATCCGGTGGCCTGGCACACTTCTCCTCTAAGTCTGTATCACTTAAATGTGGAGCCGCCTTATTGTCTCAGAGGAGGCAGACCGCAGGTTGTCCCGTTAACGAGGTATATGCGACTCTGAGCGGTCGGTATGGCCTCACATGAGCTTTATAGCGGTCGTTTCTGACGTTTTGATGGAGGAGGGTCCCCGGGAGCGCCCAAAACGTAAGCGGGCAGTGAATGCAACGCTCCAGTCATCAACTCTGACATAATAAGCAAGTTTCACGGGCAGGCCCATCAAACAGCAGGGACAATTTAAGCTCCAGCCCACATTTGTTTGTTTACGAAGGTATTTGAAGTGGTGTTCAGGTCTGGTCTTGTGGTCCCCGTTTGTGTGAGTGTGAGTTCGCGTGTGTCTTTATAGTCGTACGTCGCTGTAAATTATAACCGTGTTGAAATCTCAGTTGGTGCGTCTTCTGATTGTCTGCTGTCGTATGCCCCCTAGTGGCAAGTTGTACCACTTGCAGTTGCCAATTTTGTTTCCCCAACAAATTGCTCAAAGAGCCTTACACTTGAAAAGGATGTAATACTGTGTGGTGTTTATTGTCCAGATACAAACGTTTGGTGTTGTCTTTCCCTCTAAACAGCCCCGGAGGAAAGTTGTGGTAGCAGCTTTAACAATGGCAATAAATAGAGGTCACAAAGTTTACACATAAAAAAATCCATAAAGATAACAAGTGATAATTCACTGTTGGGTATTTTTGTATGTGTTTGTTTTGCTCTGTTGTCTGATGTTGGAGTCTTCCCACAAAGACCAGCACAAAACAGGGCAGCGGTTGTTGTCCAAGGTTGCACTCAGATTACATAGATCCTTTTGAAACGTCACTTTCAGGCAACGTGATTACATTACTGTTGAAAAGAACCAAAGTTTCCTTGCTGTCAGCGCAGATTTTCCCATGCCCTCTGCAAACCGCCATCCACACAGGAATTTTTTTTTTTGTTTTTGTGCTGATGTCTGAAGGCCTTGGAAGCCTGTAAGTTATTATATATTTACAGCCCCCCACCTCCACCCCTCACCCAGCTTGTTTTATCTCTTTTCATAGAGCATATTCACATTTCTCAGACCTATTTTAAGTCGAAGCTCAGTCAGACACTGGAGGCCCCGTACCCAAACATGGCATTTCGCCGTGTTTATTTTGTCCACCAGTTTGCATAGCAAGAATAATTTCATACAATTGCCAAACTTGGTAAATATTTGGCATTAAGAGTAAGCTCAGGTGTATCATATACACATTTATTGGTTGACTTTGCAGGGAAGCATTATTGGGTAAATATGCAGATTATAGTGAAAACATAATTATGATGTGAATCCACTTACTGTCTGTTTTATTTTTTACAGCCAGATGTCTTCTCAGAAAAACATGGCTCATACTCTTTATGTAATAACTCTGACTTCCATTTACTCTTTGGCTTGTTAGGAATGCCAAGTATCCCTGAATCGCAGTTATTGTTTAACTCTTTTAACTGTGGTGAAGATTTTTTTGTTTGTCCATTAATAACCAAGATTCTCTGTCTTTGCTGCTTTTGATACTTTAGTCACAGAAATATATGTATTTTTGTGTCTACTTGAATCCATCTCCAAACTAAAGTCTCTCCAAACTCCAGCTGAAACGCCTTCATCTATAACTTGATGTCGGGAGCGATATGTAAGCAATCCAAACCCAAAATTAACTTAAATGAGGGAGTTTGGGTTTTTTTGTATGATCCCAAAAAGAGCAGAGTTTTTCTATAGCTATTGTCAGAGTATTTTCAGGCAGACACCCAGGTCTCTGGTTTCTCTCAGCCGCTTACCCACAGTGCTCTATGCATACTTTAATGCACAAGACTCAAGTTTATCAGAAGAACTTTTGAAAACGACTTTGGGGGAGAATGTGAGATATTTGTGACAAAACAAAAAGGCATTTTTTGACTTTGTTTTTGCTCTTTGCTGTTGTCCATAATGCTCTGGTGAATCTCAGCATTTTCCCTGTTTTGATGGCTTTGAAGGAGCTCTCTGCTGTGCAACTCTCCCACTGCTGTCTTATTCATCCTTTGGCAATTCTCCATTAAGCCAGCAGGTGATGCTGCATAACAAACAATATCTGCTGTTAGTGTCTGAATCCACACACAAGAGCGGAGGAAAGAAAGCATCTTACACAGCCCCAGAGCTAAATCTAAATTATAGTGGACTCATTTTTAAGTGAAGATGTAACAACAGGCAGACCTGTGCTCTAAACTGTGCTCTCACATAAGGATTTATTTAGATGTTCTGTAAATGTATCACAAAAACCTGATGGAACTTCAAACAAGAGCAAAACCAATAACAATGGGTTGAGATGATAGGTGCAGTAGGTTCAACCTGCCTGAGGCTTCTGTGTGTGCACTTTGCATGCTCTCTCAGTGCCTGGAACAAAGTGAAGAGAGGACTCCCTAAGGAGGCAAAAAGCATTACCTTAAAGCCCTAAAACACACACATGTGGATACATACATGCACGTTGTAGTATTTTAACTGTCTGGACGGGGTAGGACTCTTAGACACAATCCCAGACACCATCATCAAAGTTCACTTTTACTCGAAGCGTCCTCCAGTGATTACCTCACCGCTGGGTCAGGTTTAAGTGAGTCACTCTCAGGCAATCTCTCCGTCTCGCACAACACACGGAAAAGGAATGCAGCTACAGATCCGAGGATGAAAATAAAAACACATGCTCTTAGCCACACAGAGAAGTATGCCCTGTTTTTTGTGGGGTTTTTTGCTGTCACGTAGGTGGGATTCCTGCTGAGTATAGCTGTCAGAGTGGTGAACGTAACTTTGTAACCTCTTCTGTGAGTGAAGTGGCGATTCATTATGCTTCTGTAGACAGACTGATCTGACCACGCGCACACAGACTGGCTAGACAGTCAGGCAAACCCCAAATACTAAGCAGCATCCTGCCAGATTTCCCTACTACAGCATGCAGACAAGCCAGCCAGCACAGTAAAGTCTGCTTCGTCTGGAGGTTACAAGTCTATGAGTCATACGTAGAGAGTCAGTTGTGTAGGAATGCTACAGGAGACCCCTAAAACTCACACCAGTAGAGACAATGATGTGTATATGTCACAGCCATACGACTCAAATGAATCATTTAATCTGTCCACCATCTGTGTTAGTCATCAGCCCTCTTACTACACGTCCATAGAAAGGGAAAAACATGGCAGCTAGACGATGACTTAAAGTGAGATCACGTGGAAGCAGCAGACGTTTGTCTGTCATTTTGTCACTGATGTGTCTGAGGTTTATTTTTTTATGGCGTACAGTACTTAAAACACACAAGTTAAATGCTTATGTCTGTGTTATGTTTGAGGTTTCAGGCGGCTTTAATTACTGTACTGACATCTCCAAGTGGTGGGAAATTATCGAATTAAAAATAAGTAACACGCTTATTTTATTTAGAAACGCTAAACACACCACCATGCATTTCAAGGCACTGAGGAGTTTTGCTGCTTCAATACGAGCACGGCTGCTTAAATCCTAGCTAATGTAAACTAACGTCTGCCTGATCTTTATAAACACACACATCTGGATGTGAACATGCAGCAATCTGTGGGAAGCAGTCGTGTTAGAGCACACTTTGGCTGCACGCAGGTAAACAGTCCACTCGGGGAGAAAAATACAGGAACAAGCTGACCAACAGGAAACCATTCAGGAAAAATGATTTCTCTTTTCACTCCCCTTTTTCAGTTCACTGCTTTCTGTCTTGGTGAGGATTTCTAGTGGCTGCACAGGAAGTCCTAAAACTCTGGTGGCTTCCCCTGGAGGTTTCCAGAATTAATTTTGCTAGGGTTAGGTCTATAAAGAACATTACAAAGCCACTTTGTCGACTTTATAATGATTTTATGACATAGTCTCACCTTATAGGATTTCAATGTTTTGGTGACATCTTTCTTTTATTCCTTTAGGGACCAAATGCAGTTATCAAAAACACTTCTGAACAAGAAGCTATTTAGTTAAATTCATTTTTTACTAAATAATTTCTCATTCTGTTTTTATAGTAACCATCCACGTTTTAATTATTTTTTTCTCCACTAAGGGGCAGAGGATGTCAAATCTGCTGACTGCCATGGCTTTGTTGATGTGACCAAAGTGTTAGCCAAAAGGTTTTGATCTGCTGAAGGACACAGATCTGATTCAGCCTCCCACATCCTTGTGAATGTAAGTCCTTTTATTGCTTTTGTTTATTCATTTTTGTTTTGCCCGCTACTGAAGCGTGGCACCTCCACCTGATAAACCTTTTCCAGTTTGAACTGTGTTGTACAAACAGTGCTTTCTCTAATCTTATTTGGTAAAAACCTGAAGAATAAGCAAGAACCAAAAAAAGTTGGCATCTATAAAACAAAAAACAATCAAAAAAATGCTTGTTTTTTAAGAAACTGCTCTAATAACACTCATCACGTCAAGTTATTCCGTTTAACTGTCTCTCTGTTGCTTATACAAATCACCTTTATCATTATTTATCCCTTCTTGTAGTCACTTTTTTGTTTTTTGTTTTTGGCAGGGTTTTGTGACGGCTTGCTCCCATAAGATGGCATATTGTGGTGGTCTGATGTCACAGAGGTGAAGACTGTTCACTTTACATCTGGGTCTAAAGGGGGAAACGATCTGCTGAGTTAAGACCTTTTTGCAAAACAAAGGACAAGGTGTCATTGGGCCACTGCATGAATATGAAATAGCAGCGCCCGGCATGTTGATTCACACTCCAGACAAATACTGTCACGGTTAAGGCTGAACACACTTAGCATTTCTGGATTAGCACTCTGTGAGAGTAAGATGGCACAAAGTTGCTGTGCTCAGTGATGTTTGTTGTGATTACTAATGGCAGGGGTTGTGCGAATGATTGATGGCAGAAGCTCTTAGCGATTCCAGTTATGATTCAGCTCAGTTTAATTGTGTTACAAAAAACCACAAGGGATTCTTTTTCAGTGACTTAACTTTCTTATGTTTCAGCCTAGTTTTTGTGCAGTTAGGACAAAAGTTACCACATTTACCATTCTTAAGCTGATCACCTGTATTAGGAAGGCCAAAGAATAAGGAAAGAAAGGGAATTCTCCAGTCCTTTACCAGCTTATCCTTGCTATTTTCATGGAATTTCAGAGAAAACCGCATATGGCTTTTTTTCCCCCCTACTGCCCTCCAACTTTAGCCCTCCACTCCCCCACCTCTGTATTCCCGTAAATGCTGCAAGCTGGATAATGAGGAAATTGGCTCTTGGAATTGTAGCAGTTTTGGCATACATGGTAAAGAAAGTGTCAAAATAATAGCGAAAACAAAAAGGAGCTTTACTGGAAACAG